GACTGTTGTCCATGCATTGCGCTGCGTGCGTGATGGAGCCTTTGCTAGTTGCGTGCAACGTAGGTAAATGTCTACACTTTCCCTGTTTCTACTTTCGTCGCCATCGCCATAATTGTCATGAGTATCACCGTCGTCGAGCTTGCTATTGCAGTCATCATCTTTGATCCGTTTGCCTGACGCAAGAAAACCATGTTGAGCTGTCCGTCTTATGGCATGCACTAATTCGTATTGTTGCGATGCGCCGTGGCAGTTTTCCTGAAAGTAGCGGGCAGCAAGTTCTGAGTCAGCCCTGATCGGCACAGGGCATCTGTCCACCCCTACAATAGCCCGAATTGAAGCAACAACCGCATTCGTAATTTCTGTAGTAACGTTATAGGGTATCGAAATTCCGTGTCCGCATCTGATCCATCAGACCTGACGTCTGGCGGCATTAAGATGCAAACATGTGCCACTGCGCCGTCGTGCTGCATCGCGTTCGCCACAAACGTTTCTCCCCAACCGCCCGCGAACCTGGGAGGGGGTTCCCATGTCCTCTCCCTTTTGTGATTGGCGCCTGAATTAGGGTTGGGGCCCCGAGCAGGTGGTTGAACCGGCAGCATACGGCAGCAGCTGCGGCCACCGCCTCGGACCCATGAGAGAAGCCTGCGGTCAAGGAGGGTCCGAACCACCCCAAAGAGCTCCCCAAAATTGCCGAAGCGGGCTCCAGGTGGCAATGGGCGCCCCAGTCAGCTCAAGAGCCCCTGGAGGCTCCAAAGACCGAAGACCATCCCCCGACGCCGCGAGGAGCTCGAAGAGGTTCCCGGGAGTGCCGACAAAACATGCGATGATTTTAAGTGTTGTTCGTGGGTTTGTGTTGTTTTGCATCTCCTCTGGTCGCTTCGGCCCAAGGTGGGTCCAAGAGCGCGTCTGTAAGGCTCTCAGAGCCCCCATGAGACTCGGACAAATGCCAAAGCTAGTCCCCAAGAGACATTATATGACCACTGTGCGTCAAGTTTTGGCTTAAGCTTCAAGGAGCGCCGCATTGGTACTGCAAATGTAACTTTCCCGAGCAGTCACTGCTTGTCAACCACTTCGTCTTGTCGAACGTCTCTTCACCAAACTAAATGACAACGGTATTGTTTACTTCAGTATCCATGTCCCTGTTTCATCTTTCGAAGAAGAAAGCCACATAAACATAAACGTTTGGCGCTCTGCGCGGATTTCTTGGATCCGCGCCTGGGCCCCCCGGCGCCGCCTCCGGCGCCGCCTAGCGCGAATCCAAGAAATCAGCCCGGAGTGTCGAAGGTTTATGTTTATGTGTTATTTTCCCCAACCATCCTGTGGTGTTGGGTCATCGTTTTGAAGAGACAGCGCCCCGCGTTCACTCCTTCCTTCCTCCCTTCCTCCCGCTGCCCCCTCCCTCCCTCCTCCCTCTTCCCACTATCACGGCACACCCCTCACACGTTTCGTGGCCCCATAGGGAGCTCCACCGAAGGCCCCAGCGGCTGCGTCCGCATGGCGGCGCCGCACCCATTTCGGCACACCCCTCACACGTTTCGTGGCCCCATAGGGAGCTCCACCGAAGGCCCCAGCGGCTGCGTCCGCATGGCGGCGCCGCACCCATTTCGGCACACCCCTCACACGTTTCGTGGCCCCATAGGGAGCTCCACCGAAGGCCCCAGCGGCTGCGTCCGCATGGCGGCGCCGCACCCATTTCGGCACACCCCTCACACGTTTCGTGGCCCCATAGGGAGCTCCACCGAAGGCCCCAGTGGCTGCGTCCGCATGGCGGCGCCGCACCCATTTCGGCACACCCCTCACACGTTTCGTGGCCCCATAGGGAGCTCCACCGAAGGCCCCAAGTGCGTCCGCATGGCGGCGCCGCACCCATTTCGGCACACCCCTCACACGTTTCGTGGCCCCACAGGGAGCTCCACCGAAGGCCCCAGCGGCTGCGTCCGCATGGCGGCGCCGCACCCATTTCGGCACACCCCTCACACGTTTCGTGGCCCCACAGGGAGCTCCACCGAAGGCCCCAGTGCCACCGCCCTCATGCGTCCCGTACGCCCAGGACAGCGTTTCGTGGCACGTCTTTCGTGGCCCCATAAGGAGCCCCACCGAAAGCGGCACCCACAAAGCGTTATTCACAATTGCATATGGTTGGGTCCGTCGCCAGGATAATTACTTCTATTAGTATCCCTGCCCCTAATTCGTCTCGGCGCGGGCCGAGGCGGTCCTGGTCCCCGACCCTTCCCTGCGCCCACGGCGGGCACGCCCCCGCTTTTGTGTGAGCGAGGCGCCGCCAGGCAGGCGGGCACCCTGTGCAGCAGCCCTGTCCCCCGATCACGACGCCGACGGTCTAGTCCTAAGGTTAAGTCGGGCTTGTCCCTCTACAGGAGGAATATTCAAAAATAGTTGATACATAGAATAGTCTGGTGACTATGGTTTGATCATGTTTGGACTATTTTGGGGTATTTCTTGAGTATTTGACTTTCTGTTGCCCAGAATCTGCCTGTAGGGAGACACGCCAGACCTAAGTCTAGTCCTAAGGCTCAGAGCAGATGGGATCGGAGGATCGCCGACGCATCGAGCATCGGCGTTGCGGCTCGATGTGGAGCCCGATCGTCTCCACTCCGACGGCGCCGATGCAGCGCCGGAGTCGCCGACACATTGTCGATGCGGCGCGATTCTCCGACCCCATCGACTCGGTCCCCACATGGGAGGCCGCCGGGCGACTGGCTTCTCTTCCCGTGCTTGTCGGGGGGGACGCGTTGCCGTCGGGAGTCCGTCAGCATGTTGTTCTTTGTTTCCGACGGCCAGGTGTTTCTTCAATTGTAACTCTCTGATGGCTTCCTTACGTTGGCGTGTCATTGAAACGGTTGTTGCTTGCCAACCTTCGTTCGCCACGGGCAAGCAGCGATAGGTGGGATAAGCTCAGGGGTGAAACGAATCGACCCCCGATCGCCCAATCCTCCTCGCTCTGAGCCCGATGTCCAGCCCCGCCCAGGGCAGTGTGGATTCTCTATCGGAGGTCTATCGTCGATTTGTCGGCGACGTATGACGGATTCAAGCTCGGTGCTTCTCACCCTGAGCCCAAACCACCGATCGTTGCCGTTAGTTCTGTGGCCGAGGGAACGGTTTCTCGGAGGTCGCGAGAGGCGAAACGCCTCGCCGTAGTGTGCCTTCCAGGCGCGGGCGGGCCGGGCTGCCTCCCCCAGCGCCTGCCCAGTCCAGTCTGCCTGCGAGTCTCGGCCTTTCGGCGCCGCGTTCTGGGGGTGGGCTCGTGAGCGGCAGCCAGCATCGAGCAAGAGAAGTCGGCATAACCTTCAACTTCGGAAGGCCCGCACGGATTTCTCGGCTCAGCACTGGACATCCCCGGCGCCTCCAGCGCCGCCCATGGCGGCCCCTTTTTACGCTACGCGTCAGGGAGGTTCGAGCGCTATGTTTTCGGGCGTAGCCCGAAGTTGTTTTCTCGCGAGGTAAACTGAGATGAACTGAACTGAACTGAGCAGACTGGTCTCACACGTTACGCGACGGTTTTATTCTCGACCGCCGTGGGCGCAACCTGTGGCGCAACCGATGGGAGACAGCTTTATTCTCGGCCGCGGAGGGTGCAACCTGTGGCGCAACCGAACCGATTGGAGTCGGTTTTATCTTCGGCCGCCGTGGGCGCAACCTATGGCACAACCGGCAGGAGACGGTTGTATTCTCGGCCGCCGAGGGTTCAAGCTGTGGTGCAACCGATCGGAGACTGTTTTATTCTCGGCCGCCGTTGGCGCAACCTATGGCGCAACCGATAGAAGGCGGTTTTATACTCGGCCGCAGAGGTGCCAGGAGAATGAGGATGAGCAGGAGGAGGAAGATGAGAAACCAGGAGGAGGTCTCAGACGAGGACGACGAGGATTAGCTGGAGCAGGATGAAGACGAGGAAGACGAGGTAGATGAGGAGGAGGACGAGGAGGAGGAGGACGACGACGATCAGAATGGGGAGGGGGACGGGGAGGAACACGAGTAGTACGAGGACGAAGTGTGGGCATTCGAATGCGTTCGGGGCTACGCCCGATTTATGCTCGCCGGTTGGGCTGGTGGTGAGGCCCTAGCGGCCAGCTGTCTTGTAATTGTTAGCGTGCAGCGCATTGTTGGTTCAATTCAGCGTCGGCGCTGGTATATCCGTTGTCGAAGACGGACCAAGTTCAGCACAGTCGGTCCAGTCTGGTTTAATCACGCTGATTCTGGCTTAACCCTGGGCGTAGTATGTGCTAATCTGGCTGGATGGCCCCCTGATCGGACCTAATGGCCCTTAACCGTTCCGACGAAAACCTCCCAGCGGTTGTCCTCTGAGATCCAAGAAGTCAGTGCGTATCGTCGAGCTTCTATGTGTTCGCAGGTTCGTTCATCCTACACTGGGCGACGGCGCCAGTTACCAGTTCACCTGGTTTGCTCTGTCTTCCCTCTCTTCCGCCTCCCTGACGATGTCTTGCTGCTGTGTGCCTGCATGTGCGATTGTTTCGTTTTTACTCACAATTCTGTCAGTCTCGGACTGTCTGAAGACGTGGACTCCTTGTTTGAAGCCCGTCATCGGGTGCCCTAGCGGCGATATCCTGCCGTCGCCAGTGCGTGGGAGCTTGTCAGGCACGGCCCTGGTTGGGCTGTCCCTGGCTGAGCGGCGCTGGCTTGGCAGGTGTTCTCATGGAAAGAGACCCCTTGAGACCCCCCGAGGCCCCGTTGCCCCCCCCCCCCCCAAAAAAAAGCGCTCCGCAGGTGCAATACGCGAAGATGCGCAAGGTGGTCAACCAGCCGTTCAACGTCGTCCAGGCGGGTGGGGCCGTGCGCGTCTCTCGCTCGCGATAGAGGAGGACGGGCCAGATGAGGGGGAGAGACGGAAGGTGGTACATCAGAGGAGGAGCCTCTATTGATACCGCGGCTCGTCCTGCGGAGCCCTCGCCTCCACGTCCTGATTCCTGCGGTCCTGGTCACAACGCGCCCTGGGAGAGGTCGGAGGGGAGCAGCGGTATCGGCACCTGTTGTCCCCCCCCCAGAGAAGAGTAAAGGAGGAGGATGGCGGAGAGTACAAGGAGAAGGAGAAGGAGGAGGAGCAGGAGGAGGAGGAGGAGGAGGAGGAGGAGGAGGGAGAGCAAAAGGAGGAGGAGGAGGAGGAGGAAGAGGAGGAGGAGGAGAGAGAGGAGGAGGAGGAGGAGGAGGAGGAGGAGGAGGAGGAGGAGGAGGAGAAGGAGGACGGAGGACGGAGGAGGGGACGGCGTGTCTGGACGGCGTGCTGCAGGGTGGGGCCGTCGGGCCGTCGGGCCAGGTCCACCCAGTGTTGCGAGCGCGAACCACCTTGGGAGGGCCCACGGGCCAGCGCAACGGGGCGGCGGGTCCAAAGGAGGAGAAGGAGGAGGAGGAGGGGGGGGAGGGGGGGAGGGGGAGGAGGAGGACCAGTATAAACTCAAGACTCATCAGCGATGTTGGAATAAACCCTCCATCCAAGCTCCCTCTTCACAAGGCCCATACATGGGCTCATTTCCACTAGGTGCATTGGCTTATTGGACTACCCTTTGAGGACCCTGAAGCATGCCAAAACACCAATCTCGGGACACCAACGCTACGGCTCAACCTGATTATTACGCCTCGACGGTCCGAGATGGTGCCAGAACGCCAATTTTGGGACCTCAGCACCGCGATTGAGTGTAAATGTTGCACCCTTGCATTCCTGAGTCCCTCCAAAGCACCATTTCTGGTACGGGTACGCTGACAATGAGAACCAGTGACATTCTTGCAATTTGTTACACGAATCTGCGCGGCGCTACAGCGATAGGCACATGTTGCAAAGCGCCCGCTCTCAATCCGTGAAATTATTGCAATTGTTTCAATCTAGAGTGTGCGGCGCTATGGCGAGAGCAACATTTTAAACCGCCCGCCCTTAACCCGTGAAATTCTTGCAGTTGCTTTCAATTAGTGTGCGCGGCGTTCAGGCGAAGGCAACATTTGAAAACCGTCCGCGCTCAACCCGTGAAACTCTTCCAATTGCTTTCAATTAGCTTGCGCGGCGCCAAGGCGAGAGCCACATCTGGAAGTCTGGAAGACCACCCGCCCTCCATGTGTGAAACTAGGGTTAACTTCAAAGCTTCAGTGTTATAGCTGGTGAAGACGTCTCAGGCCAAACGCCGGGCCCGCCCTTTCGACCGGCCTCGGGGTGCGACAGGGAGGAGTTATGCATACGAAAAGACGTGGCGGAGGAGGAGGAGGAGGTTGAGGATGAGGGAGGAGGAGGGGGAGGAGGAGGAGGAGAAGGAGGAGGAGGAGGAGGAGAAGGAGGAGGAGGGGGTGGAGTGCAGGCGGAGCGGAATGAGAAAGGGGGAGGCGAGTATTGTGCAGAAGGCGATCGGCGGCGAGGACGAACGCGACGACGAGGACGAGGAGGAGGAGGGGGACGGTGACGACGAATGCGACGACGAGGAGGGTGTGGATCAGGCGATCGCAAACATGGATCAAGGGGGCGTGGATTAGCAACGTGTCCCGTTTCCATGGGAAATCGCGCATTTCCGCCGCCGAACGAGGCGGCACCTGCCGCATGTTGAGCAGGGCACCTCCCCCGATCCATGGATTTGGCGACCGCGCGCCACATGGATCGCTAATTCATGTTTGCGCGCCCCCGAGTGGAGGGGGGAGATGGTGGTGATGTTGAGGGGGAGGGAGGAGGAGGGGGCGGTGGAGGGGAAGGGTGACTGGGGGAGATCGAGGTCCCAGAGGTCCCCGGAGGAAACCAGAGATCTGAGTTCTCCAGGGCCTCCCAGAGGCTTCTGCGAGGCCCAAGCGACAGAGCCACAGACGGCCAGACCTCCCGGGTCGAAAGGACACCATAGGCCGAGGGCGCACGCCCGAGGACGCGGACGAGTCGCCCCAGAGCGTTCCGGAACGCTCTCAGGTCGTCCCGGAGAGCTCTGAAGCTGCCGTGGCGCCCGATGCGCCCTCCAGACCCGCCGGCTTTCAGAGACTGCCCCACCTACCTTCGGGGGCGGAAAAGAGGGGGGTGATGACTAGGGGGGGGGGGATATCATGGCGTGGGCCATGATATTTCCCCAAATTTCATGGCGCCTCTTCTTATTTCATTGCGTCCCTGGCCCCCCCGCTGGGCCGCGCACATGCCGCCGGTCATGATTTGCACCCCCCCCTCTTGGACACCCCCCTCTCGGCCGCTCCCGATACCTCCGAGGCTGAGGATGATACATGTGCACCGCCTGGGGGGCCTCTTGTATCCAAGACCATCTTGGGCCCCCTGGGGCCATCTCCGCAACCCCCCTGCAGGGATCCTGTCAGCACGGTTCCACAGGCAGTGGACCTTAGTGGGCCCTGGAAACGACAGGGCCGTTTCTTTACCGGTTCCGTTTTGCCGTTTTTGTTGCCGGTTCCGACGCCGTTGTTTTACCGGTTCCGTCGCCGTTTCTTGACCCGTTCCGGCTCCGGTTCCAATCTTGGAGCAGTTTTTTGCCGTTTCCGGTCGCCGTTGTTTTGCCGTTTCCATTTTCAAGGGACATTTTTTTGGAAACGGTGAAGAAACTGCCCTGCCGTTTCCGGGGCCCGCACAGCTCCCTACCATAGGGGCGGTGCGAACCCCCTGTGGACTGGACGGGGGTGGCGCTGAAGGACACCAGTCTTTCACGAGCCAGTAGTGGGCACCACAAGCTTGCCACAACCAACGGAGGTACACCACATGTTCTCCACCATTCATGTCCTTGCAGCACTCCGTGAACTGTTCAGTTTGATACTTCACAGCCTCTCTCCGGTCTGGGCCGTGATCGGGACGCGTATCCCTTTCCAGCCGTCCAGTGCCCCCACATTTGATTGCCGTGAACTAACGGACTTTGTGCTGGGGAGGGCGGGTTTCCCAGACGCCGGATTTTCTTAGGGTGATAACAGCCTTCGCTTCGGAGTGGCACCCCGAGGGCCCGAGGGGCAGCTCTGCGAGAGAAGTCGCGCATTCCCACTGGTTCTCCAGAACAAGCATGCGCCCCGGGCGCCTTTCAGTGCCGCTGGCGTCCTCGCCGCTGCGTTCTGCGGCTGCTGCTGCTGCTGCTATGCTGCTGCCATCGCTGCTGCCTCACCCCCGCTGCCGACGCCACCGCGGGTGGGTCAGGCGGGCATCTGCCTGTTCGAAGAGACCGCTCCCGGCGCTTTCCAGTGCCGCCCGTTCAACGTCTTCGTCTTCCCCCGGGCGGTGGACGAGCGCACCGACGACGGGAAGGTGATCCAGGAACCGAGCTCCCAGACCTCCAACATACCGTCTTGAGTAGAAGCAGTGCGGACGTTTTGTTGCCGTTTTCGGCCTCTGGGGGCCCTGGCCACGGGACCTTCATAGATCTACGCAGGACGAACAATTGGCCTAGCGGAACAGGGCCCGACCTCACGAGCGGCGAACATAGCCGTATCCGCGCATTGGCGCTCTGGATTCTGGGCCGCGGGCACGCGGTCGCACGGATGCGCTCCGCGCGTGGCATCCGCGAAAAAAAAACGCCCCGCCCCCGCGGGGATGCAGCCCAGCCCGCTAGGCCGCGCATGCGGATATGTCTCTTCTGCCTCTGAGGGTCTCCGAGAGGGTCTTTGTTGTCTGCTTTTTGGGGGTCTGGGCGGCTCGTCCTTGCGTCTGCCCGCTGGCGTGCTGTGCTGCTCCAGCGGGCTCCCCTCGCCGACCCCGCGAAGAAGGTCGAGAGGGCTCTGTCCTCGATGGTGCCCTCCGGAGGCCGCTCTCGTGCCCTGGGTCGTGGGCGGAAAACATATGCCGCCCCGCCGTTTGTTCGCAATGCGCCCAAGTGGATGAAGCCACCGCGGCCAAGTCACGGCAAAGTTCGCGTCCGAGGCTGAGTTTGCCCTGGTGGCCGAGGCGGTCCCCAAGACGTAAGGCCGTGAAACGGAGCAAACGGCGCGGCGACATATCCGTATCCGCGGCCTCGCGGGCCGGGCCCCTGGACCGCGACCTCGCGGATACGGTGCGCTTTTTCGCGGATGCCCCGCGCAGAAAGTGTCCGTGAGACCGCGTGTCCGCGGGATCGTGCCCCGGAGTCCACACCGCGGAGGCGCGTATACGGATAGTTATGTTCGCCGCTCGTGATTTGGGCCGTGGAAGAATCGGCGAGAATGAGAAGCCGGTCTTGGTGCTTGAACCGATTGCGCTTGAAAGAGACTTTTCGCCGGAGTGGCCTGGTTGTGTGGTCACGTTGGGCGGCTCTCGCATGCGTCCCAGAAAAAATGCAACCGCCTCAAGGATGGATGGCTAGTGCTTTTCGAAACGTGGAGCGCGCTTTATCGCTGCGCTCGTTCGTCTTCAAAGTATGCAACAGTTTCGCCTATTGAGCGCAGCTGGTTTCCAACATATGTCTCGTGCGTCATCGCCGCGCTCAGAGTTTGCAAGTGCTTCACGGATGGGATGCAGGTGGTTCTCAGCATGTGGTTCTCGCCGCAGCGCTGAACACATTCATCTCAATCGTATGCACCAGCTTCAAGGGTTCGCATGGTTAACGTCCCAGGGATAGTGTTCTGGCAGGGTTTAGGATTGTCAGGACTGTCACCTTGATCCGCGGCATTGAAGTGTTTGGCACGGTGGAGGGTTCTCAGACCGTTCGTATTCCAATGGGACGTTCCCCGAACAGACCTCGAATTCTTGTAGGGGCCTATGGAGAGGGAGCTCGGAGGGAGGGTTGATTGCATCATCGTTGATGCGTCTTGGGTTTACACTGGTCCTGGTCCTCCTCCTCCTCCTCCTCCTCCTCCCGCCCATTCCTCATCCTCGTCCACCTCGTTCTCCACTTCCAGCATGGGCAGCGCAGGCAGCAGCACGAGCAGCAGCGGGAGCGCGAGCAGTTGCAGCGCGAGGCTTCAGCCCTCCGCGCCCAAAGCCCAGCATTTCGACTATCCGCCTCCGCCCGTCGAGCGACCTCTCGAGGATGACCCCTTCCTGGGCCTCAGCGCATCCACCGTCGCCTTCCTCGCCGAGAACGGGCTCGACTTCCAGCGCTGGCTGACAAAGGCGCGGCCCCGTCGCCTCCACGGGTGCCCAGACACCGGGCGGCTCGTTCGTAAGTGTCGAGACGGCATGTTCTTCCATTTCTGGACTCTTGTTTGCACGCCTTTCTGTGGCGCAGAGGGGTCGCGCTGTCCAAAGACAGGTTTGCGGGTGCCGTGGACCGAAGCCCCCGAGTCGTTACTTTCGCTCCCTCCGCCCTCCTGCCAAGCTTCCATCAGCCCGCCGTTGCGGGCGTTTGGCTCAAGTGCGAGCTGACAGTGCGGATCGTGCTCATTGCAGCAAGAAGATAGAGAAGCGGCGCGCGCGCGCCGCCATGTTGTCCGTATAAGGTAGGGCCATGTTGTCCGTGTAAGGTAGGGTCTATTGAGAGGAGAAGAGGATGAGGAGTTCGTTCGTATGCCAGGTTCTATGTATCATCTGACGAACGTCAGGAGATCACCCGAAAATCTGCAGGTTTACATCCGCCACTTTGAACTTGATGATCATGTCCACCGCAGCTGCAATACGATGAGCAAGGCAGCTGGCAGTGGAGGCGAGTTCTCCAGGGAAAATGTTGCAGCGTACGTCGCTACAGGTGTACCTCCCAGGGGGGAATCCCAGGAGTCAGACATCGAATCAGAGGGCGGGCGAGGTTCGTCGCGAGGTCCTGATCAGGTGGCGCAAGCCTCGTACATTCCCCGGTCAATGCCTGGAGCGCCAAGCAATAGTCAAACCAAGTTAGGTGTAGCCGAGAGACAGACGATTGGTTTCGCAACGTTCGTTGTCGACACATGGGCCGAATGCTCCAGGAGCGTACGTGTCAGCTTCTGGAACGGACCTCCCGTCGGACGGGCAGGCCAAAGTCGACGATGCTTATCTTTACGGCGCGAGAGAAATTCACGATGACATTGGCGAAGGGGAGGGTGAATAGTTTGCTTGTGGCGATGAACGCGACAAACATATCGGTTGAGAATGTCCAGACATATCCTTCGGCATTCCCAGACGGCGCCCGCATCGTCGCAACACGAATCGTAGCATCGTCGCAGCACCGTTGGCATCTGTGGGGGCTGGAGCATCCGTGCGCACGGGGCATTTGTGGGGTTGCCCAAGACGCGAAGGCTAGGTTATCGGCCGGCCCACCCCCCGGATAACACGGCATATCGCCGATCCAAACAGACGCTGCCCTACCTAACCTACCTGGAAGAGGAGGACGGAGGGCGAGCCAACAAATGTTTGTGATGGTTGCGCCCATCTTCCAGCAGGTGGCGAGTACGTTTCGCAGAGTGTTCTAATCACGTCCAGTGCGGCGCAGTCCATGGGCACCGCGAAGAGCCACCAAGCAATCACACCTGATGCCTCCGAGAGCGTTCTTCCCGATCTTAGCACAGAGATCGGACAGCCATGGACCCACGATGGCACGAGGGAAAGCGAGTGTAGAGCAAGCCCCCATTAGTGTTCAAAGAAGATTGGAGAAGCAGGGGACCGAAGGATACACGAACGCTGCGACGAGACATCGCCCAGTGCCATTACAGTTTCCTGAGACCAGCGGTTTTTCACCAGCGGCCAGTGCTACTCGTTGAGGAAAGTCTGCGGGGCAGAAAATAGAAGCCGAGATGGCCTTCCCGACGACCCCCATAAGAAAAGCCAAGCTGATTATGAATCCGTCGAACGTGTCGCTGTTGAGTTTAGACAAATTCCCGTCCACGCGGACGGGGAGCGACCGTTACAAAGCGAACCAGATGAGATCTAGGCCGAGCGCCTCGGCCTGATCTCGTGATCTGGGTGATGTTCTTCCGCAATCGTTTGCTGGGGTGGTTCGGCGCTCGTCGGCGCCGAACAGGCGCGGCGCCCCCCGCCGACAAAAAACACGTTACATGATAAGCTCGTCATGGACCAGATGTTTTATATATATATATATATATATATATACTATTTTTTTTTGGATTTGGCGCGCACGCGCCTGTGCATATGGACGCGCCGCAAAAGGGCGGTCATGAGGTTGCGGGCGCAAAGAGAGACAGGCGGCGCAATTTGATTTTTGAATGGCGCCAGCTTCCAGAACCAAATGTCGATAATGAGGGCAGGCTGTTTCCTGGAACCTGTAGGGACGGGAAAATCTTGTGATGCGACGTTTGTCAAGTCAGGATTTCAGGGCGTGTGCGCCCACGTGCGGGCTGATATGGGCACATGACAGCACGGTAATTATTTCGATTGCGCGAAGCCTTGTAGTGGCCACCTTTATGCGTCACCGTTGTGGTTCTGTCGGGGATCCGAAGAGTTCGGCTGTCGCGTGATGCGGCCCTCAGAGGCTCCGACAGAAAAGGGCGTGCCGGCGCAGCATGGCTACCGTTGAAACATGAAGGGTGGTCCTGCTTCTCTGAGGTTTGTTGTTCGGATTATTTTGCCGGCTTTGAGCGAGCGTTTGACATCAGTCATGCCAGAACTCGTGGATCCGTTGGTTGATGTGGACTTCTGCAAAATACTCGAAGCCAGGGGCCGAGTCCTGACCAGAGCGAGATATCGGGTTTGACGTATCGTGAGACGACGGACGAAGAACCGCCATTGAGCAAGACTGCAGTCACTGGGCCCCTGGCGTGGATCCAGTCAACAGGGCATTGCCCAGTGGATACCGGGAGAGCCCCGAGTCATCTGCTGGGGGGGAACGCCTCTTCCCATCCCCAGCAAGTAGCGAGAAGGACCGCTGTTGGATTGATCGGTCTGAGATAGGGGGCTGAATTGCCTCCTCCCCCACCTGGGGATGACAGTTCCGGACGCACGTCACGTGGGCCCCCCGAAGTGTGGAGCCGGGTCGCCAAAGGAAGACGTCCCCGCGAAACCCGCCCCCCCACGGCAGTGCCGGGGAAGGGGGCCACCATTTTCCCAGGGTTTCCAGTAACGACCCTGGGGGACTGACAGACCCTTGCGGCTGTCACGGGGCGCGCCTTCGTGACGGGATATGAAGAGGCGATCGATCTCCGCCAGCTGCTCAATGAGCACGTGACACTGATCAGCAGGCAAGGCAATACCATCGGCGCTATCCTGTCGATCAGGGAGAAAGATGTAGAGCCAAATTACCTGCGCGCCGAGCTGCGGCAGGCAGGCAGTGATCGGGGCGGCATTCAAGCAGCCATGAATCTTTTCTCTCGGGATGCGTCCATACAGAAGCGCGAAGAAGCTGCAGGGTGGGGGCGGGGGGGGGGGGGCGAGGCCACGCGCGAAACGTTAGAGTCCGCCCGGGCCGGGGGGGCCAAAAAACAGGCGTCTGAGAGGACAGCGCCACACATGACGCGAGCACTGCTCGCGAGAGGCAACGGGCCGACGAGCCGCAGGACGAGCCGGTCACTGATGGGCGGGGTCCGTGGCTGCCATTGCGGAAGCCGCAGCGGAAAGGAATGCCGTCGTTCTGGATATCAGACGCCCGCGCCGCTATGCAGGGCGCTGAGGGCGCGGGCGCGGCCGCGGGGGCGGCTGGCGACGAGTCTCAGCGAGAAGCGGCAATCAGTCTCCGTCGAGCAGTGGAACTGCGGCCCAGGATCGATGTGGTGCGCGGGAATATTGGGGCCGTCTCCCAGAGCGAGCCAGGGCCCGAGGGCAAAGGACATACCGACGACGAGCCGGGAGAGAAAGGTGCGGATTCTGCGTCGCCCAGTAACGTCGCCCATGCAGAGGAAGTTCTGGATCGCGCAGGTAAGCGGGAGGTGGGAGAAGGCGACGAGGGTCGTGCCCATCTCGTTGAAGCAATGGCAGATGCGATCGATGAGGTGCGTCTGTGTAGAATTGCAGAAGACGGCGCGCCGACCTGCCATCTCTTGCAGGTGGGGGAGTTGTCCAGCTGCGTGGGGGGATTCCAGATCGATCGCGAGGTCTGAGGCGCGGTAGTTCCCCACCTTCAGTTGTTTCCATTGCGAAGCGCTGCCCTCGCAAAGACCGTTTCCAAAAGCGGACTGACCGAAGTTGTTTTCCAGAGGGATTACATCCAGCGGGGTGCGGCTAGAATGGAAGGCAGGACTGAGTCTTTCGCTTCTGTTTACATGATGGGCAAATGTTGCCAGTTCCGCTTTTGCTAGAAAGCCTGGAGATGACTTCCCTGGAGGGAGTTGAAGGTTTGCCCATGGTTGCGGCAAAATCAGCGGGGGGGGCAGACGCGGTGTGGAGCCTGGTCTACGCCGACAATGCTGATGGGAAATGGGAAATCCACGAGAATGCTTCGGCCCCGCCTGCGATCAACAAAAGGTCTGCGGGCCCAGATCGCGGCGGCCCGCTGGGCCATCTACGTCGCAGGGCGATGCCGGGCAGGGGGGGAATTCGCAAGGGAAAGCGGCTTTTGTTTCACGCGTGCCGCGTGTGCCCTCGCTGGTCGCCGTTGGAAAAGGCGAGGGAGACGAGCTGGTTGAAGTCCACGGCGAACGCGAGTAAGACTGCGTAGCAGAAGCGCGGGGAGCTACAATGCTTGCGCCGGTTGCTGGGCCGACGCCGCCAGTTGTTGAGTCGCCCCTTGGTTCTCGGGGCTTTTCTCGACAGGGGCGCGGGGCCATTCTACGATTGCGCTTGCGCGATCGCCAGCGAGAATGAACACATCGACTCGAATGTTCGCGGCGGTATCTTCTGTGACCCGAAGAAGTGCGCCGCCGCGACATGCGATGGCTACGGCGGCGAGACATTCGACGATGACGAGCTGCAAAGAATCAGAGTAGTCTATTCGGGCCTTGGGGCGCTGCTCGGCGACCGCAGCCAACTTGGGAGGCTGGGGGGGGGGGGGCTGCGTCCGAGTCGCAGAAGTTGCGTTTGAAATTAAAAGCGACGGGGTGCCTCATCCCGAGTCCACCGTGCTCTCGGCTGCCTGCCATCTTCGTTCGTCCTCGAATGAGTTACAGGTCATCGCTAAGCCTCGGCGAGGTAGATGGAAACGATGCAACGTGGAAGGGCTGTCTGGACCAGGGGTCCACATGTCGCGGTAAATGGTTGATCCAGGCACGCGGAGGACGCCCCGCGTGGCGCGACGGTAAATTGAGGTGATGTGAAAG